CAGGCGTGGCGGTAGCTCCGTTCGCGCCTCCTACCTGTGCCCGATCTCGTCTTCGGTGTTCTTGGCTCTGTCTTGACACCGGGCACAGGTGGTGGTGGGGAAAAGAGAGTGGCGCTGATGCAGCGCATGCCTACGTTCACTTAAAATTAATCAATGCGCAAATCACGATCCCAGTACCATCTAACTGTGGAACAGCTTTTGCAATGAGTAGAATATTGTGGAACTGTGCATGCGATCGATGCATGGATGGATGGAAGCCAAGCAGATCAAACGCCAGTCGCACTGATCTGTGCAATAACCTCTCATCCCTACAATGTGTGTATTTACCTCTAGAACGGACCATGCGACTAAGGCGCTGGGTCAACACGAGGTCAGGTCAGGGTGTGGCAGATGTTGTTCTGGAGGCGCATGCGTAATAAGTGCCACTTATGTGGAGGGTGGTGGTAGAACTAGGCGCTGTTTTGTGGTCAACTAACTTCGATTGCATGTTTCAGCCCTGAACCGTTCGCGCCTACTTATATGTTCGCGCCAGTTTTCCCCAATCCGAGTCATCCCTGGCAAATCATCTTCAATAATGAATTACGCATGACCTCGCTAGAGGCGTTGTGACGAATCCAGCGCTCTCAAACATTGGACGCCGACCTCGCGACTCCAGAAGGGCGTTCATCCGGTCCCAAACTTCTTCATACTTATTCTCCACTAGTTCTGGGAAGAATACACTTCAGAAATAGAAGGTGCGATCGCTGGAACAAGAAGTTTCTTTCCCTGACGTTTTGTACCACCGGCGATTATAAACTGGGAATGTTTGGTCATTGAGTCGAACGCAGTATCAGTGAACTCAAAGGAATGAGGGAATTCAGTTCCCCGAAGACTGGTAAGGTAGACAGACGACAGTGAATTAGCCAGAAACGAATTTTCTGATCGTTTAGTGGTCAATAACTCCCAACCATTGACCGCTCGGCGCTATACAATCGACCTTAAGTTTTTTTCGGGCTGCAACTCCACGACAAAACAGAATGCCCACACCTGTAGTTTAGGCTGGATATCCTCATATCCATTTTACTTCGAAGACGCCTTATCGCAATCGTGAGGTCCTGAACTAATTACCGAATGCTGAGAGGTCTCAGTACATCCTAAATTCACCTGGTACCGGAAACTATCTGACTAGCGATGATCACAGTTTGACCGACGTATCTTACGCGGTCCAGTGCATCTCATTGGAAGGTGGTGCAGGGGCCATGACTTACGCGTATATTAGATTATAGTTATAGTAGACTTGCGCAGCATCTGCCCTACTCTTCTTCTGAACCACCAGAGCCCAATGTCATGACCGAGACAGGAGATGGCGCAGGTGACCGGCGCGGGGATTACCCACAACTCACTTATACTTCACATGGACGGTCCTTGACCAGGTTAGAGCCAGTAAAAGAAACCCGGTCGAGCATAAAAGCAAATCGTTTTGGGTTCTCGATGGGCGGTACTGATATGTTCCTCGTGGAACACCGTGCTAGCCACTACTACAGCGTGAAACCAGCAGTGACGAATGAGTATCGCCGAAATGCCGAAAACAAGACTACGGTCAGAGGAAGGACAATAATATAGAGCAGATTAGCTGGGCAGGCATGCATGCAACTTCCTTCTGCGCGAAGACTGTTGTCAGTCCAACAAACTAAACCAGGATTCACCCGCAAAATCATCAGTGTTGGAGATACACGTTCACTATTTGTATCAGTTCTCAGGGAAGTTACCATGGCGTGACCGACGTGCTAAGCGCTGATTGGTTGAAAAACAGAAGAGAACTGGGCGGTACGTTGGACCACCACCCCCACCAGCCAACATGGCTGCATCACTTCGGGTAGCACAGAACCCCCAACAAAAAAATCCCCACGGATAACACTGTGAGACAGGAGAGGGCGTTTATGTCATAATCAGAGAGGCTGTAGGTATATAATTGCATAACAGTAAGACTGTGGTGTATCAGGAAGCGATGAGACAGGCAAATGCATCGGGGGTTGTGTCTGGCCAGGCCAGGGGACACCGAGAGCGAGCGACGAGAGGTGAGGGGCAACTAAAAATAGTTTCTCCCAATCAGGGAGATAGGGGCATGAAAGACCATATCAGGGGAAAGGAAAAGTCAACAAGCGGTGACGGGGGGGGAGGGGAGTGACAGAACATGAAATACAAGTCGGGTGGGGGTGACTCTGTATAAAAGAGCCTACTACGCCTGCGCGGAAATCTCATCGGTGGCAAGTTGGGCGTGTGGGCTTGGCGACGCCTTTGTACGACGTTGGGGGAAGGGAGTACCGGCTTCGGAGGAGCGGGAAGAGGCCTCGCCGTCCTCCTCGTCGGTGGAGACGAAACCATTGGATAGGATTTCGGGATAGTAGGCGTCGGGCCGAAGTGCCGCAGCTAGCTCTGCATGCTGGGTGACCATATAGGGCATATTGCCATGCTGAAAACATAAAGCGGAGAGTGCAGAAGAGTGAGTAGTAACCCTGACCGTCATACACAATACGTGTAGGCACACGCCTTCAGTATTTGCCAATTTTTTTCAAGTTAGTTTTTGCCAAATAAAATGTGGTGGTACTTTTCATCGTTGACTTAGGTTTTGCATTCACCTAGGGCTGTTCATTATTATTCCAAAGCTTTCGTTAGTGTTTTTACGAGTAACTATAAATGTTTCGTAAATTCAGGCATTTAGATCATTGGTAAGTTATCTGCTGTACTTACAAAGCCACGTCACAATAAAGACGGTGGTATGTGTAAACTGGGCGTTACCTAGGAAAAAGTAACTTACGCAGATATTCGTCAGTGGAGTATAAAATTAAAGTGCTTTAAAACAGGAAACTCGTTATAGAAAGTTCGCTGATTCATCGTGGGCAGATTAATATCCGATTTTTGTTGTGAGCGTTCATTTTTTTCTCAGCAATGAGTTTTAATTGGCCACCCTCGTGAGAACTAATGTTAAAAGCACTCACTTTTTGATGAATGCTTTTAAGAAATATCTTTTTTGAAGGTTTTGATAAACACGTCGAACAGAGTCTATTAATGAAGAGTTTAGAAAAAATGAACATCGTTGAAGACTCGTCGGACTTTCAAGGAGGATCTTAAACTAATTGTAAAATACCAGAAATGTCTATAAAGATATTTGAAAGGGGAGTGCTCGTAACAGACACAAAATAGCTTGCTTACGAGTTCACGTGAGATTCCATTTACATTTATTAAACACAGTTGGGGCGATTTTGCAAGTTTTCAGTATTTGCAATTTTTTTAAATTTTGGTCTTAACAAATAAATTAGTGGCCCTTTTCAGAGTTGATTTACGTTGATTAAGGTTTTAAATTCACCTAACGTTGTTCATTATGATTCCAAAGCCTTGCTTCACGCATTAATGCTGGTTTGCAAATGATTGAATTTAAATTCGTAAATCTCTGCATTTAGGTCATCTGTTGTACTTGCAAAACCGCGTCACAATAGTGGTGGTATGTGTTAACTGTTTGGTTGACTTACCGCATCCTTGGCTCGTCGGTTGGCACCACCCTTTAGAAGGGCGCAAACGACGTCGACGTGACCCCGCTGTGCTGCCCAATGCAGACTGGTCCAATTATTCTAAATGCAAATAGTACAAGTTAGGGCATATTTCATTTCCCCTATCACTCTGTGCGATGGCCTTCAGGGCTCTAGATCGATCTCCGGGAGACAAAAGGGATGCGTTGAGTCCATAAAGCGATCGGGGCGCGTTAATACTCAAAAAAAAACAACAGGAGGAACCCATGGCTCCGTTGTTAGTGCATTGGACTGATAATAAAAAGAGCGTTCAGATGCCGCCAAAACTGGGATTTGGTACGGCTGGCGATGGTTCTAGTGCTCCTTGTCGGTGGCCGAGGATTCTTCGGGGAGTGCACTCATGCATCAACTGGCATATTGAGTTAGATGCAGAATATACACAAACAGATTTTATACACAACAGATTTTTCGGAAACTTCCTCCTTTCCCGTCCCTAAGTGGAGCGAAAATGCGTGTCTCCAGGAAGAAGAACCAAAGAAGCAGAGATTTCGACAAAGATAAGGGAGATCGTAATTAATATTTATGCCTTATCAATCATCGGCAGCCAATCATACTCAACCCCTACGTTAGATTAGGCACAGAACCATCCACCGCCACAACACGAAACACCAGGTAGTGCTGGCCACCGCGTCAGCTGGTAACCCTCCAAGACAATACCATTAGAGTAGCAAGAGAGTTTAGAGACACCTTGGGTCGGTTAAGGTGAGAAAAGTGAGTGCTAGATATAAGCAAGAACTGCACTCTCTCACTTCCAAAGTCAAACCAACTGCAAACGCGATTCGGTGCGTATAGCGAAGCATCCACCCTTTGCTTCCTCTACCTCGTGGGACACATATACAACAGTATTCATATCGTCCGACAGAGGAGCGAAGTATGTAAACAGCAAGGCGATGCAGAAGAATTAAGAAACTTCTCATGCAAGTAGGTGTGTGGCGGTGAAGGCATCTGTGAACACACAACTAGGATGGAGCGTGCGAAGCGAGTCGGTAGTCAGTAATGCGCAGTTAACTCGCAGGTGTGTGCAAGACAGAAACGGAAAAGAGAGGTGTTCCCGTTTGACGAATCTTTTTTTGTTTTTGAAAAACAGCGCGTGGTGCGCGGCCGGTGGAGAAGGCGCTGAAATTCGACTCGTAAATGAGTTATAGACTGTTCAAGTCCATTATCACTGTACACTACTGCACGCACATAGCATTATCCCGGTGCCGAGCGTGCTGTGGGTTAAACGGTGAACGTCAACGAAATCGACGATCGAATTGTCGGTGACATGGCACGAAAAAAAGCATCGGTTATTATCTAATGGTCGGACTTAAGACACGTCGGATCAGGTTAGTGTATGCATAGGTCACCGACACTGGAATGCCGGGTGTTGGTGACCTATCTCCAGCAAACCAGTATACAGTGGTTGTGCGATTCAGGAATGCTGGCATAAGCGATGAGGCTGGTTCAGGGCTAAATTTCTGTTCAAACTAGGCTTTCGATAGATGATAGAAGGCACAATCGGAAGATGAACCATGTTTTACCCGCGTAGGGAAGAAAACTCTCGCTGGCGGGCCTAAACTGATCAGGGTCAAGTAAGGACGAGTGTCCGTCGGAGGCAGTCTAAACCAGACAGCTTAGTGTGAGAGGCGAAGAAAGAGATAGGGCTGGGGAGCTAAAGCGAACGCAAGCCAGTGCGTCGGCTTCAATGATGTGATTGCGTAATTAAGGGAAAAATGCTCGGACGCTGGCGTAACATGGGCGACGTCGTCGTCGTCATAATTGGTCCAGTGCACTCTTGTGCTACATTGCCGGTGCGGACGCATTATTCTTGGCAAAAGCGATAAGGGAGCGAATTCAAGGGCCGGCAATTAAGGGCGGGCGG